CAGTGTTATCTGAATTGCCAAAGAGGCTCACATAAAAGGTATCCATCAATGCAGAGCAACTTAGTTATCAGTGACATCATAAATTATCAACAATTCATTCAACAAATAGTGCCAGGCACTCTTCTAAGTGCAGGGTAAGTAATAGTGAACAAAATGTATTCCTGCTTTCCTGGCTTACAGTGTGGTAAGGACAGACATTAATCAAATAATCACATAATGGAGAGTGGTAATTACAAAACAAAATAAAGGTTATAAAGAAAAGAAACACAATAAAAAGAATCTGATCTAGATTGGCAATGGGAATTAGGGAGGACTTCCCTGAAGAAGCGATGCTTGAGCCAATATCTGAGGTAGGGTGCGGGGGACGTAGGGGTAGGGAACAGACATTTGAATATATCAGGCTAAGGGAACAGCCTGTGAAAGGGCATGGAGTGGGAAGGTAAGCTACACTGGTCAAGAAAGTTGAAGGTAGGCCAGTGTGTCCAGAGCACAGGGAGTTAGGGGTACACAGATAAGAAAATAATGAAAAGCCTTGGAAAGGTTTTTAAACATAAAGCAGGAAAAGAGCCTCTGCCACTATGTAGGTTCTAGTGGAGCCTGAACAACATACTGCCTGTAAAAGAGTTTTGTAAATCATAAAGCACCCTATACTTTGGTTAGTACTATTTAGTTCCACTATTATTTTCTAAACGTTTGTCCTGGATGCCAAGTAACTAGTTGAAAGCATAGAGCCAAAACTAGAATCTCAGAACATCAATCTATTGTTTTTGCCCCTACACCACGCTGCCTAAAAATTTCAATGTTTCTATCACTCAACTAGTCCAATGTCTATACCAGTACTTCATAATGACAATAACTCTAATTATTTATAGAGTATTTACTATATGTCAGGCACTCTGCTAAGCTCTATTATTTACCTTAACTCATTTAATCTTCAGTTCTAGAAGAAAGGTTCTATTATTGTCCAGACGAGGTTAGTGAGGCTAGGAAAGGTAACTTACACAAAATCACGCTGCTAATAAAAGTTGGGAGTTGCTAATCACAACACTGAAACATTTTATGTCTGTGTATGCATGTGTATAAATATCTCTTTAGCTCCAGAGAGAGAGAAAAAGAGAGGGGGGGGGAGAGAGGTGAGGGAGAGAGAGAGAGAGAGTGTGTGAGAGAGAGAGAGAGAGAGAGTGTGTGTGTGTGTGTGTGTGTGTGTGTGTGTGTGTGTGGAACTTGTACACAGAGAATTATATTCAACTTCAGCCTGGGCGATAGAGCAAGACCCTGGTCTCAAAAAAAAAAATCATGTTCATGTTTGAGCACCAGTGTCTTAGTCATTTTTGTATTCTCAGCCTAGCACATAGTGCCTGGAGTATTTGTGGCATTCAGGAAATATTTGATGAATTCAAGATGTATATGAGAGTCCGACAAACGATTTGAATCTGGAAGTAAAGTAAGTTTCCAAGGCCCTCCTCCCAAGTCATGTATTCACCAGCAATTCGTAGGAAGGCCGTATTTTCCTCGACTTTATTATTACATTGAAGATTTGTTCCTCACTACCGTTGCTATATTTCACAGCCTTTGGCCTGGAGTGGGATAATGGACAATTAACTAGTTCCAACCAACTCTCCAGCCACAAGTAGCTAGTTCCCAATCACATCAAATGCTCTTCCTCCGGGGCCCTTACACAGGCTGTCCTGTCCGGAATGACATTCCTTCCTTGGGTTCCTCTGTTCAAACATCACTTCCTCAGAGAGGCCCCCCTGACCATTCCATCTAAATTCGTGCCTGAGGTCTTCTTCAGCAGGTCATTTGGTTTCTTTCCTTTCACAGAACTTAACACACTCTCTGGAATTATTCCTTTGTCTATTCACCCCCCAGCCCCCAACTCTAGTGAGGGCAGGGGTCTCGTCCGGCTGGTTCCCCAGATGTATGTATGCCCAGTGCCTAAAACTAAGTAAACATGTATTCAGCGAAAGAATGAGAAGAGAATCACCCCCGAATTGTGCTCTCTCAAGCCCTTAATACCCTTAAGCTTGCCTCTCCCTGTGGCTGTAATCCCATTTTTAACAGTAACACCATTTTCAAGTGACTTTGAGGCTAGCAAAGTAGACTTGACTCCATTTTCTGAGTAGAGCCCCAAAAACAATGCTGAAAAGGGAGGTCCAGCCTGGCAAGAATGACCATGCTCCCCATTTTACAATGGATAAATTGAGCCTCATTTGGGGATTCGCCATGGCCGCTCCGAAATATAACGAGCAGGAGCCCTGCAACGGGTCCGTCCGCGTTCCGAAAACCTCTTCCCTAGAGACCTCATCTTGGACTCGAAATCCATCACCGTTAATACTATTGTTCTTAGTACTTATCCTGGACGCGTTCCAGGCGTTGGGAAGGCGCCCACCCCAGGGCCCAAGGCCGCGCCCCTTGCGCCCCGCCCCCGGCGACCCGGCCCCACTCCGCGCCCTGGCCTCTACTCCCGCCCCGCCAGGGCTCCCGCGCCCCATACGGACCGCCCTCTTCTGCTTCACCCAATCAACAAAGCTTATGGGGGCGGTGCCACAGGACCCGACCCTCCTATCCGACGCCAATTGGTCAGCCCACCCGTCGCTCACGAGGTGGTGCCTCGCACCCGCCTTCCTCCTTTCCCTTTACCCTCCCCTTCAGAAAAAACGGCGGTTGGGCCGCGGCGGCCGCCAAAGGCGGACTAGAAGCAGAGGGGCAAAGAGCCCAGGAGAGGGGGACCAAGGGACTGCAGGAGGGCGGAGGAGGATAAAGAGGAAGGGAGCCCGACCAGCCCGAGCCATCTCCGTCGAGAACAAAATGGCGGCGCTGGCGGAGGGCCAACTGTGAGGCGGGGCCGCGGCCATTCCCCCTCCGCCCCCACCTTTGCGCCGGCCCGGCCGGTCAGGGGGAACCCGCTCGCTTCGTCCGGCCGCGGGCGGGGAGGGGAGGGGAGCGGCCCGGCCCACTATGCAAAGCGCCGGGCGCCGCCGCCGCCGCCCCGTGGCAAAGGTAAAAGGGTCGGGTTCAGCCGCCGCTGCGGCGCCTCCATGTCCGCGCGCCAGGCCCGCCCCCTCCGCCGCCGGCCCGAGCCCGCCCGACCCTCTTTCAATTTTACCTTAGGGTTTGGCGCCAAAGCAGCCTCGAAGCGGGTCCCGTGTCTGCGGCGGGCGGCCCCCGGCGCGGAGGGCAGGGCGCGGAGAGCCCCGGCTCCCGGCGTCGGCGGATGGCGGGAGCCCGGGGGCCGCGGGCTCGCGGGGCAGCGGGCGAGAGACGAGATGCCGAGGTGGGAGCGGGGTAGCGGGGACGGGCCCGGGGGCGCCGCCGGGGTCGCGGGGAAGGGGGGGTTTGTTATTGTTTTTGTCAGTGAAAGGTCAGAGTTCGTGACCCCGGTGCCGCCGCCGCCGCCGCCCGCGCGCTGGTAGGAGGAGGGCGAATGTTCTTCTTCCTCTTCCCAGCGCCAGCCTCGCCGCGGCGGCGGGGGGCGGGCGAGCACGCGATTGGCTGAGGCGCGCGCGCGCACCGGAACGCCGCGGCCGGCGCTTGGTCCATCCGGCCCTTGGGCTACGGGGCCCCGGGCGGCGGTTGCGGCAGCTGCTGAGCTCGGTCGTGGCGGGGCGGGCGTATCTGTGGCTTAAATGGCGCAGGCGCCGGGGCCTAAAGGCCGACAAGCTAGAGGTCCTAAAAACTCGTGGATGTCGCGCACGGTTACCCGGGCGCAGGCTGTCCCTCGGGGGAACCGCGAAGTCCTCACGGCTGAGTGGGTACCGTCCTCGCAGTGGCGGCCTCCACCCCGGCCTCCAGTCTAGCCGGGGCTCGTAAAGTCTCTGTTGATGGAAGAAGCGGGGCCCTGACTAGCGCGACGGATTCGCCCAGCCGCTCAGTAGGGCGCCTGTAGGTCGAAGTGGGGGTTGTATTGGGTGGGAATTGAGCTCTTCTGGCCTTCCTCGGTACAGATAGCTTTTAATTTAGGTTTTAAAGGTCCAAAGATGCGTCCGCTCTGGCCATCGCAGGTGAAGTGTTCAAACTCCCTAGAATCTGTAATTTTTTCTTAATGAACATACGATCCAGATCTTGTGTACTTCCATGCCCTCCCCGAGATATGAAAGTAGTAAATGGTAATAGGTAGGAATGTGTAAAGCAGCTTTTAGCAGCATTGCTTAAATTTATATGAAGAAAATGGCCTGTCTTGATCTTAAACTCTTGGGCTGTAAGTTTTCGTTACATATTTCTCTCTCTCCTGTTGTGGTTTTGACTTGCCTGGGAAGGTGCAGGTGTTTATTTATCCTAAATGCCCTGAAGTGTTGAGACTACAGGTTGTAGGTCTTGTACTAAGTGATTTTTTTTTCAGTTTTCTTGCTTATTAAGAGGAAATACTGACTCTAGAATGGATGGGTTAACTTTTTTTTTTTTACACAGTACCCATTTGGGCTTTTATTAGGATGACTCTAACTTCAGTATTTTTTCCCCATTATCTTATAATATTTCTATTTGATAAAAAATGTTTTAAACATACCTATTTCCCCGTCTTTCTTGCTCTCACTTTGCAAAGTGGGGAAAAAGCTAGGTTTTTTTAGTCATGGTGAAGCATAGATCTTGAAATTGGAAAAGGCCTTAAGAGAATGTCAAATTTTTTCTGGCAGAAAGGTTTTCTTATTTTAGAGGTGAGGTGGGTGAGAACCAGAAGGTTTGCATTATCGGAATGTGCTGTTTGATGTTGGAATACATTTTTTTTTTGTTTTTTTGGGGGAGACGGAGCTTCGCTCTTGTTGCCCAAGCTGGAGTGCAATGGTGCGATCTCGGCTCACCGCAATAGCGATTCTCCTGCCTCAGCCTCCTGAGTGGTTGGGACTACAGGCTTGCGCCACCACGCCCAGCTAATTTTTGTGTTTTTAGTAGAGACAGGGCTTCACCACGTTAAGCCGGCTGGTCTCGATCACCTGACCTCGTGATCCGCCCTCCTCGGCCTCCCAAAGTGCTGGGATTACAGGCATGACCTACCATGCCCGGCCTGGAATACGTTCTTAAATAAATGTGGACCACTTTAACGCACGTTTCTCACTTTATGTTTTTTTGCTAATGACTTATGACTTGCTGTGTATTTTAGATAATGCTATGTATATTTAGACTATGCTTTTTGTCTAATGATGTTAGACAAAAAGGAAATTGGAGCAGTTTTCTTGTTTGAGTTCAAAATGGGTCATAAAGCAGCAGAGACAACTCAAAACATCAGTAACACATTTGGCCCAGAAACTAAGGAACATACAGTGCAGTGGTGGCTCAAGAAGTTTTGCAAAGGAGAAGAGAGCCTTGAAGAGGAGGAGCCTGGTGGCGGGCAACCAGAAGCTGACGATGACCAATCGAGAGCAATCATCAAACTACAGGAAAAATTTCAGAAGAACTCAGCATTCACTATCTACAGTCATTTGGGTCGTTTGGAATTTAATGCAAATTGGAAAGGTGAAAAAGCTTGATAAGTGGGTGCCTCATGAGCTGAGCAAAAATCAAAAATTTGTTCTTTTGAAGTGTCTTTTTATCCCACGCAAGAATAGCAAACCATTTCTCAATGGGATTGTGACATGCAATGAAAAATGGATTTTATACAGCAACCAGCTCAGTGGTTGGACCAAGAAGCAGCTCCAAAGCAGTTCCCAATGCCAAACTTGCACCAAAAAAAAGGTCATAGTCACTGTTTGGTAATCTGCTGCCTGTCTGATCCACTACGGCTTTCGGAATCCTGGCAAAACCATTACATCTGAGAAATATGCTCAGCAAATTGATAAGATGCACCGAAAACTACGCCTGCAGCTGGCATTGGTCAACAGAAAGGGCCTAGTTTTTCTCCATGACAACACTTGATTGCATGTCACACAACGAACACTTCAAAAGTTGAAGGAATTGGGCCACAAAGTTTTGCCTCATCCACCATTATACACCTGACCTCTGGCCAACCAGCTACCACTTCTGGCATCTTGACAACTTTTTGCAGGGAAAACACTTCAGCAGGATGCAGAAAATGCTTTCCAAGAGTTCATTGAATCCTGAAGCATGCATTTTTATGCTACAGGTATAAATTTATTTCTCATTGGCAAAAATGTGTTGATTGTAATGGTTCCTATTTTGATTAATAGAGATATATTTGAACCCAGTTACAATGATTTAAAATTCACAGTCTGGAAATTAACTAACTTTTGCATCAACCTAGTATTTCAATGGTAAATCCTTGCAAACATGGAAACAATGCACTTGGCCCAGTGCTTTGTAGTTGTGTACTCGTTTTCTTTATTAGATGGGGTTGGCTGGGCACAGCGGCCTGTCATCCCTGCACCTTGGGAGGCTGAGACAGGTGGATCACCTGAGGTCAGTAGTTCAAGACCAGCCTGGCCCACATGGTGAAACCCTGTTTCTACTAAGAACACAAAGAAATGAGCTAGGCATTGGTGGCAAGGGCCTGTAATCCCAGCTACTTTGGGAGGCTGAGGCAGGAGAATCGCTTGAGGTGGAGGTTGCAGTGAGTTGAGATCGTGCCCTTGCACTCCAGCCTGGGCAACAAGAGCAAAACTGTGTCTCAAAAAAAAAAAAAAAAGACGGGGTCTCACTTTGTTGACCAGGCTGGTCTCGAACTCCTGGCCTCAAGTGAACCTCCCATCGTGACCTCCCAAATTGTTAGCATTACAGGTGTGAGCCACTGTACCCCGCCTGGTTGTGTACTCTTTCAAAAATTAAGTTTTTAGTGTTAAATGATGCTTCTAGATACATTGTAAAAATTCATGTATCAGAGTTTTTAATTAAAAACATTGCAATTGTACTAGATTTTAAAGTAAATACTAATCAATAATTCAGGCTTTGATGTTGGTTTATAGTTTTCTCACTTCTTTCATTTAATAGCTCTGTAAATGAAGCAGTTACTTCCATTTTCCTGAGGTGTAGGACTGTGGCCCAGATAGGATACCTGCACAATGTTATAGGTCCAATAAGTGAGACTGGGGCTATTATCTAGTCCCTTTGACATTAAAACTTGTGTAGTAAACCATCTATGTCAGTTTGCCACATTTGTAATAGCGTTCAATAATTTTTCACTTAAAGGTTGGTTTAATATTAAAGTAGTAGCAAGAATTCATAACCTTAATTGGCTTTAACAGCTTTTCTTCCCCTGAAAACAGATGCGTATGTACACATGCACACAGCATACAGTAACAGCACATAACAGGCCTTTGCATGTTGAGGTCAGCACTGTTACGGTGCCTTTTTTTCGGGGGGGGGGGCTCTGGTTTTTTCACTGCAAGTCTTTTTAGTTAGAAAGTAGCTTTCTAACACTTGGATGGGTTTTACAGGCACAAAAAAACACAAAAGTATTATACTAGCTCTACTTTATTTTTGAGTTCTTATTAATGGGGAACATCTACTTTTGCATTGACAGTGGTTTCAAGATTGCTTTATCAGCCTTTAAAGGATTCTTAACTAGGTGTGCACTTCAGAACTGCCAGGCCCCCAGTGGTTCTGAAGCAGTAAGCTTTGGGTGGGCCCTGGCATCAGCCCTTTTACTGAGCTTCACAGATTATTCTGATGCATACTCCAGGCCTGAACCGCTGATCCCATTTGAAACATGCATCCTAACAAAGCAAAAAAGTTTTGTTTCACCTTTTGAAATAGTTAATTCTTACCATGCTGGAGATTATTCGTTCAGAGAGACAGGTGCTTGCTCCAGAGTGGTGATATCTGGCAGTACCCAACCCTTGTGTGTGCATTAGCTCAGCACCTGCCATATTGGGAGCCCTGGTAGGATGTGTCTTGTCCTTCCCTGTTTCAGCTCTTAACACAATTGCTGGTACAGAGTATGTAGCGTGCATTTGTTGAATGAATGCTTTTCCCCGTAGCAGTGTATTCATACAATATTCATATAATTGTCCCCTGGTTTACAGATGAAAGTGAAAGCACTAAGTGCCCAATGGTGAGACCCAGGAGTTCTTCTTCCACCCCTAGTGGTTCCCTGGGCAATTTTTTCTAACACTCACCAGTCTGTTCTGCAGTCCATCATTGATTGACTTGTCTGTGTACTTGAGAGCAGGAACTGTTTGATAGTTTCATTAGTACAGAGTAAACATTTGCCGTGCAAGGTTATTTTACATGTTTATTTAAGTGATAAATGTTGAGTCAATGAAAATGAAGTTTTGATTAAACAATAGTTGAAGATGTGCTAGGTTTTTCAAATTACTAATATCAAGCAGAGATTGTTTTTACTTGTAAAGGTATTGCTTTTGTGATAGCATAAATAATGGTTTTCCTTTTTTGTAATGTAAATTAATTACTGGCAATTTTGTATTCCCATAGACTGGGGAAGATTAATTGCCTTTATAAGTATGTACAACTTTGTATCACATTTTCTGTATAATAGCTTATGCTTTATTACTATATATGTACTAATAATTTTATCTGACTTCTGTTTATATCGTTTGTACAATTACCTGGTTGTAATATAAACTTGGTTGCTGTTAGCCACCCACCCCCCCACCCCTTTTAATTGTGGAATCTAAGTGAGGTATGCTGGCTCACTCCTGTAATCCTAGTGCTTTGGGAGACTGAGGCAGGTGGATTGCTTGAGCTTGAGACCAGCGTGGGCAACATGGTGAAACACCATCTCCAGTAAAAATACAAAAATTAGCTGGGTGTGGTGGTGCATGCCTGTAGTCTCAGCTACTAGAGGCTGAGATAGGAGGATCACTTGAGCCTAGGGAGGTCAAGGCTGCAGTGAGCCATGATCGTGCCACTGCACTCTAGTTTGGGTGACAGCAAGACCCAGTCTCAAAATAAAAACAAACACAGTGTGGAATCTGGGCAGATAAGATAAAATCTCTGAATACCAGATTGCATAATACTTTACATTTAACACCTTATCCTGTTTAATTTACAATAACCTTGTGAAGTAGATGGTATTACCCTGTTTTTACAGCTAAATAGGCCGAGACCTAACAGAGAAGATGACTTCTCCAAAGTTGCATGGCCAGCAAGGGGTGGAACATTTATTAATAACTGTTTCTGCTCTTCTGTCCTTGAGGAGTCTGAGAGGAAGAAAACTCTTCTACCCACCTCTATGGTCTGTCAAAGTCAAGCTCTAGCACAGCTTATCAGGCTATTTGAGGAGGCCTCAACCTCTATGGAGGTGGCCCTTGTTCTTCCCAAGAGGAGACTAGAGAAAGACTGTTTTCCCTGTGGTGGATTAATGGTATGAGAACACAGGGACACCAAGAGTGCATTTCCTAGTCTCCTAAGTAGCTGAGACTACTGGTGTGAGCCACCAGCGTGACCCAAACAGCCTTTCTTACGTCATCCATTTTTGTGACTTCCTCTCTGCACTCTGGCAATTCTGAACTAACCCATTCCCCAAACATGCTACTTGATGTCTTCATTACTACACACCTTACTCCGCCCCCTACTTCCAGGGACCTCTCTTTCTCTGTGAGGTGACCTCCTCTTCATATGTCAAGCTCCAACTCAGAAGTCACTCTCAAGAACACTCCTAATCTCCCTCAAGCACAATCCATTCCTTGATCCTTTTTCCCGGAACGTTTTAGCTTTCTTGTGCTTCTAACCATAGAGAATTAAATGTTTATATCTGACTTGAAGTAAATAACCATGTGTCTAGTGCATAGTATTATGCGAAGCCTGGCATCACTGTTGAAACAGTTTCAGTATTCCACAGCTCCTTAGAATTCTCTTAGACTTACATAAACATTCAGCCACTTCCTCAGCCTCTTATTCTAACAGAGTTGACTGAAAATTTCTAGCTCCCAAGAAACAATCCCAATCATATTAACCTTCCTTTCTAGCTAACTGATCCTGGACATAAATATCAATGTGTTTCTCAGGGTTCAGGTTACCATTAAATTTATGTACAAACTTACATACAAAAATATGTACAAACATAATGTTTATAGTTTTGATATAGGTATATAATCTGCTTTTTCCTTTATGTTAAGAATGTCAATATTTCTCAGTTTATTAGAGTTTCAGTTAGTGAAGTGAGTGTCCAGAATAAGTGAAAATTAACCTGTCAGCTGAGGAGTGGCAGTGGCCAAGCAGCAAGCACTCTGGCTGTTCGTCCACATTCCAGGTTTGCCATTACCAATTGTGGGGCTTCTGACAAGAAATCTACCCCTGAGTCTGTCTGCTCTGAGTTCAGTCGTGGCTGTACCACCTTGAAGGGTGATTGAGGGTAGAAGGAAGCCTGTGGAAGTGCTTTTGTAAGAGGTAAACTCATTCATTCACAAATGCAGCTGAAGCTCAAAAGCTGACCCCTGAATCAAGCATCTTAATTTACATAGATATGCAACTCTCAGTGTTTCTTTCACTTTTAAACTTATTTCAAAAATTAAAATTTGAAATATGCTATTTAGCAAATGTTTCATCTATTGTGATTTTTTTCACCAAAAGTGAACTTAGCAAGAAACACTATCTTGTATCTCTTATTAGAAGTTCTGTCCCTATAGCTTTCCTAAAGAGAAAAAAGATTTATCTCTTAATATTCGTCAAGAGGAGAGCTTAGCAACAGTATGTCTAGGGACATATGCAGGAACATGCCTTTTTTTTTTTTTTTTTTTTTTTTTTTTTTTTTTTTTTTTTTTTTTTTTTTTTTTTTTTTT